AGTTAGGGGGGTTCAACAGTGATGATCTTGAAGATGCATATTATTGAAGATTTGAAATTTAACTCTCTACATGAATTTTCCCTGTACTTACTACTTAGCAGTTTGATTGATCTTATATTTTACAATAAAATATTAGGATCATAAAATAATAAAATCTTGTTGATTCTTAATTCATCTTTTGTAAAGAATAAGTGGAAAATGGTTGAGAAAATTTGCTATTAAAATGTCAAGTCCATAAAATTGAATTTGGCTCGCAGTTCACTTTTAGGGAAGCCCATGTCTCAGCTTCTAAAAGTTAGGGAGTCAAGCTCCCTGCTCGGAGCTTCTTACGCCCATGATTTCAGTGGCGGATCCAGTGTACGTCAAATTAAATTATAACTCCTAAATTTTAAATTCAAATTACTTCCAGTAAAGCACGATTGGTTTTAAATTCCTAAGGAATATAATTTTACCAATGGATTCCCCTCTAAGGTGCTTAGAAATGCAAATATACGCCAAAATCTGCTGCAGTAATTTATTTTGACGTGGTCTGGATCTGCCACTGCATGATTTGCACAGAAGTATGGATTTTTATATACTGAGAAATATTACGTCAAACTTCTACCGAAACCTATTGCGTTAGGTCAATAATTTTAAACGTATTTTTTTATTTTCTTCACTTGAAGGTAAAACGTATGGAGGCTACGGATCTTGTTTACGACTGAGAGGTCTGGGTACCAAGAATAACATGGAAAAACAGATGGACAACAAGATATGGAAGACGATGGATCTATTAGTACAATCAGCGGTACCTGGTTTAGTCGACGTATTTCAAGTACCAATAGAAATACCTCTACTCCCAGATAAGAAAAATTCTTCTGCAACAATGATTAGATTTGATAGACATACTTTATACAAGAGATATCAGCATTGTGTCGACGAGGCAGTCGATATAAGGCTTTGCACATGCGCATCAAAACATTCCGAAGACGTTCCGATCGCAAAGAGCAAAACTGGGAGGAATGGCGACGCGTAACATGTTCGGTGCAAAAACAGAAATAAAGAAACTCGATAAAAACTGCTTGCAGTTGTTGAGTCGCAGGCACAATTACAGTATAGCTTACGAGGTAGTGAACTATTGTGACAATAGCTACACTTTCAAAGTTGATGGCACTGCATTCAACATGCTACTGACTGCGAAACTACCATTGAATATGACTGTGATGCCGAGAGCTTTATATTTTTTATTTTCGGCGACAAGATACGTGGTCAATGATAGTTTTTTGGACATCAAAACGACATACAAATTGCTTGAATAAATTTCATGCAATCGGAAAACGTTCAGTTTATGTTATAGTAAAAGATACTTCTCGACTGTGATGATTGGTTTACTGTAGTGCTGTTTATCTGTAATTGCACTGTAAAAATGTGTAAGTGAAAGTGTAATTACACTTTAAATACTACAAGCTAACTAACTGAAAATTTTCAATTCAAGTAAACAAATAATAAGTCCAACAATTACTCAATTCTGCTTTCGCATGATAAATTATTCGACCTCGGTCAAAAATTTTTGATATCATCCTCAGTCTATTTCAATACTTGTTGATTATTACCTTACGGTACACTGTTTACTTTAATCATAAGTTATTATTATTCACTATGCAAGGAATGTCGCTTTTGATTGGTTAACTGCCTGCAAATAATTCTCGATGTTTGTAGGTATGACGTCATATCTACAGATAACATTCACCTCGGTCTGAATAATTCCTCATATTATGCTCAACCTCATCCAATAATTGTTTATTGATGATTATACTGTTTAGTGTAGTGGTCAAGTTTCGGTTAATGTTTATACTATAGTTAAAACTTGTCCTATCTATGAGACATTACATACAGACATATATGAATACTAGTCAATACTCACAACAAAAACATAGACATTCCTAAATTCATCTTGATGTATTTGTACGATATATCATAACGAGTCTTCAACTCATTCCCTTGTTTTATCATCCATGGCGAATTTGATGAACAACAGCCTCGTTCACTTGTTCTTCTCCGTCAGCAAGATTTGCTGGAAGGGCCGTCTCAAAAAGTTAGTAAATGAATTAGAATTATTTTAATAAGAATTTCAAATATGTTGGTAAAAACAAAGAAACAGCTTAATATTTAGAGCGATAACTGCTCGAAGTGTTTTGAAAACGGTAAGGCTGCAGTTACCTGAATTTTGTATCTGCCTGGCGCAGATATATTGCTATACGATGACAAGTCACGCATGACATTAAAATTGACTTTTCCCACCTGTTGCAGGCTTGATTATTTTCAAAACAAGATGGTTTCTTCTACGTGCGCATAGGTACATTTGATTTTTGATCAATCCAAAATATAAATTGACTGAATGGCAAGGATCTTATAGGCGAAATGTAAAAACAATTGGTAACAGTAGCCAGCCATCCGCATAAATTCGTTGTTCCGTCTACGCTAGCCGGATACAACGTCTAGCACACGTTCTCATTTCAAACGACGATGTACTGTCGCGTTGAATTAAATGCATAAATTATGCTAATTCTGAACCAGCAGTCACTGTTTTTCCAACTAGCACCTAGGCATGCACGATGCTTTCAGAAAGGAAATTATTTACGCGAAACCAAGATTGGTTGTGTTATTTTATAAGCGCTATGCCTTGCACAAATCGTGCCAAAATCACGAAATATCAATGTATTTTGTGTGCCATAAACTTTGGACTATTTCCCTTTGATTTTTCAAAATTGCTAAAAACAAAAATACTTGTTTGTAAATGTAGGTTGATATAGTCCTGAGAAGGACTGTTTTTGTTGTTGTTGACTGACGTTTCGACAACCTTAGCGGTAGTCATCTTCACAGTCAAAAGATGAGATGTATGAGTCCAATGAGGATTAAACGTCATGATAGCCGTATTTGTTATCTGGTTCTTACGTCATTGTATTGTGTGTACAGGAAATGTGTATTGTCATTGTGAATTAGTGTGAAGTGAAATATTTTTAGTTGTGATGTGTGATTTAGGTGTGATGTTTTTAGTTGTAATGTGTGGGTGTCAATCGTGTATTGAGCAATTTCAGCAACTACAACAGAAACGGGTGAGCCCATTGCTGTTCCATGTAATTGTTTGTAGTGTGTACCTTTGTAATCTAATGCAATCTATAGAGGAACGGGCGCTCACGACTTACAAAGATGCACTACCTTTTTGGTTGCGTTACGTAGATGACACAATCACAGCACTACATGCACGAGATTGATGACTTTCACACTCACATCAACAAACAGAACAGCCACATACAATTTACTAAAGATGTCGAAGAAAACGCAACTCTTCCTTTTCTCCACTGTTTGGTAAAACATGACAATCAAAAACTACGAACAACAGTTTATCGCAAGCTAACACATACTGACCGACTACTAGACCAATCATCTTACAACCCTACATCACACAAAGCCACCACAATCTGAACATTAACAAGACGTGCACAAATCATATGTGATTTACCGGACGCTCTACACAATGAAAACAACTGTCTCGAACGTGTTTTTCACAAAAACAACTATAACTCTGACTTTATCAAACGCAAAACTTACAAACCCAACAAACCCAACGAAACAAACAACTCAGTGACAACAGCAACGATACCTTACATCAAAGGTACGTCTGAGACTATCTCGCGTATCTTACGACCATACAACATACGTGTCGCACATAAACCAATCACAACGTTACGACAAGTACTAACGAACATAAAAGACAAAGAAGAACCCAACGAACGACAAGGTGCAGTTTACAAAATAAACTGCTCCGACTGCCACGCCTCCTATATCGGGGAAACCGGCAGGAACTTAAACATAAGACTTACTGAACACCCACGAGCTACTAAGAAACAAGACAAAACTAATCACAAAGCACAACATTGACTGGGACTCGGCAAAATGCATTACTTACAGCACTGACTATAGACAACGGCTTACATTAAAAAGTTGGTATACCAACTTGGAACAAACAACCCTGAACAGATCACAGCAATTACCGGCACCTTACAAATGACTTATTCACAATACAAACAAACAATCAACTAAAAACATTACATTTCACACTAATTCACAATGACTGTACACAGTTGACACCCACACATTACAACTAAAAACATCACACCTAAATCACACATCACAACTAAAAACATTTCACTTCACACTAATTCACAATGACAATACACAATTGACACCCACACATTTCCTGTACAAACAATAGAATGACGTAAGAACCAGATAAAAAATACGGCTAACCTGACGTTTACTCCTCATTTGACTCTGAACATGACTACCGCTAAGGTTGTCGAAACCAGTCAACAACAACAGAAACAGTCCTTCTCAGGACTATACCAACCTGGACGATCTACATTTACAAACATGTAACGATACTCCCGGGTTCAAACCATTTACTTAACAAAAATACAGACGAAATGTATTAAGTGCGTAAGTTCTATATTTAGATGATTTTTCAGTAATCATTGAATTTGTTATTACTGGCTACAAAATGTATTAGAGAAAGCAATATCAAATAGAAAATATCCGACATAATCAAAGATATTAAATGAAGATATGATTTTCTTTCATATAATCAAAGATAAAAATTTTCATAGCATATTCTAATACGACAAATCATACATCTCTGCAGAAAAACACTTAACGGAAAACAAACTCCGAAGATAATTTCCATCTTTAGCTCATTGTATGAAATAGAAGAAGGCGCAAAATAAGATACAGTGATTTTGAGCTAAGAGTTTCTCAATTTATGATACATGTGCGATGACATCATCAGGAAGTTAGGTTAATTTACATGTGTGGTAGATTATTAAATAAACCTAACTTCCTCGTGATGTCATCGCACATATAAACTGACTTTGTTTCGTTTTATATTTTATAAAATTATCGGCTGGCAATGGATTTTAAAAAGGTCTTGTAAGTTGTTATTTAAGCCAAACATATAACACACATTTTAAAACTTAAAGTGAGGTTCAAATAAGTTCATCGAAGAACATCTCAACTTAATAAATTTACATTAACTGTAAAAAACTAAATAGTTAATTCTAGAACATCAACCCATTACACGTGAGCGCAGATAAAAGCACACAAAGCGTACATATTTTATACTAAGGCAATGTGTGGTAATTTAAAATGTCGCTCTGAACTTTGCTATGAACTTCTTATCGCTAGGAGCTTCTTTCCTAATTACTTAAATTGCAATTAAGATCACACATGTTTATAAATAATCACTTGGCTTGATAATGACTTTGAAATAAAGTCGGAAAATTGCTTTAAATCTTGTCTCTTGCTGATATAGCTCGAATCTTTAGTTTACAAGATGATGTTTTTGGAGCGCGTTTTGTCATTTATGTTTTGAAATTGTCGGCTAGAAAAGGAATTTGGAAAAGGTTATAACTATCTCTATAACCCACTACTATCCGTACTCGATAATTTCGTCATTTTTAAACATCAAAAATGATGAAAAACTGACCAATCTTCTTGGGATATTCCAGTTTAAGGTTTTTCATGAATTTAATGAATTCTGCTTTCTCTTTTGTGAATCGTTGATTGTGGTTCATTTCTTCCTCGACTGTTGTAACAGTAAAGCCTAAAAAGAAACACGTTTTTGAGTACCTTGTCGAGATGGTTTCACTTCAACTATAAGTGAGATTTTCAAAAATTCAAACCTTGCTAGTCATGTCCAGGATACAGTAGAAAGTTTGAAGGAAGCGATAATATTTTTTCATGAACAGATTCGTGATTTGTGCTTTGTGGTTCGGTGTGATGTTCGGCAATTTGATTAGTCTTGTATTGTTTCTTTGTAGCTCGTTTGTGTTCAGTAAGTCTTATGTTTAAGTTCCTGTCAGTTTCCCCGATATAAGAGGCGTGGCAGTCGGAGCAGTTTATTTTGTAAACTGCACCTTGTCGTTGGTTGGGTTGTTCTTTGTCCCTTATGTTCGTTAGTACTTGTCGTAACGTGATTGGTTTATGTGTGACACGTATGTTGTATGATCGTAAGATACGCGAGATAGTCTCAGACGTACCTTTGATGTAAGGTATCGTTGCTGTTGTCACTGAGTTGTTCGTTTCGTTGGGTTCGTTGGGTTTGTAAGTGTTGCGTTTGATAAAGTCAGAGTTATAGTTGTTTTTGTCAAAACACGTTTAAGATAGTTGTTTTCGTTGTGTAGAGCGTCCGGTGAATCACATATGATTTGTGCACGTCTTGTTAGTGTTCTGATTGTGGTGGCTTTGTGTGATGTAGGGTTGTAAGATGATTGGTCTAGTAGTCGGTCAGTGTGTGTTGGTTTGCGATAAACTGTTGTTCGTAGTTTTTGATTGTCATGCTTTACCAAACAGTCGAGAAAAGGAAGAGTTCCGTTTTCTTCGACATCTTTGGTAAATTGTATGTGGCTGTTCTGTTTGTTGATGTGAGTGTGAAAGTCATCAATCTCGTGTGCATGTAGTGCTGTGATTGTTTCATCAACGTAGCGGAACCAAAAAGATAGTGCATGTTGGTAAGTCGTGAGCGCCCGTTCTTCATTTGACTCTGAAGATAACTACCGCTAAGGTTGTCGAAACGTCAGTCAACAACAACAACAAAAACAGTCCTTTTCAGGACTATACCAACCTAGACGATCTACATTTACAAACATGTAACGATACTCCCGGGTTCAAACCATAAACTTTAATCATGGTTTTAGTCACTGATTAGGAACAACTTATTTAAAGACATTTATTTACTTACTTCTTTTGTTGAGCATTCATCAATTGATTAGTTGCTTTTCACGTCCAGAATTGGTTTCTGCCCGATTTTACCCAACAAATCCAAATTTCTTTCCCTTTCTGCATTAAGGTCGCCGACAATCGTTTCGAACTATAATAAACAAGGCAAATTTCTCAAATCTGGTTGAAATTTCATCGAAGTAGACATTGATTTAGACGAAACATCTTCAGTTACATCGATCATCATATGAAAGTGAACATTTTTTAGTTAATCATTTCTAACAGAAATGCCAGCCGATCCGTTTGTTGTAACACAATGAAGTATAATCATTTGCGCTTGACGGGTAGATGTCTTAAATTTTTTGGTTTGTTCACGTTTCAAACGTCACATTTGTCAGACAAAACATCGGGTTTCAACTGGTAAACGTTACGTTTGTTCAAATCGCAGATTTCTAAGTTTGTAATAACTCTTTCTTATGTTATATGGTGAGTTATCAAACTTTGCAAATCACCTGAAGTACACACAAGTAATTTTCAGTTGCTACAGCATTTTATCATTGTAAAATCATATAAACATGTTAATCACATGACCTATGAGGATAAAGTTTCATTAAATTAACATTTAATGCAAAAGCCTCGTCACCTAAAAGAAAATATGGGACATTGTTGGGTCTTTTTCCCAATTTCGAGGGCATTGGAAAAACATTGCTTTTGCATATACATTCAAGAAACCATGTTTAAAGATTCCACCATCTGACATACTTCCTGGTGCACCAAGGTCAAATGATACAAACCTTCCCTTTGCATCAGCAATAGCAAGCAAAACAATACTTGAGTACTTCTTGTAATTAAAATATTCTGAACCCGTATTGGGTGGTGCTTTTATATTAATGTGCTTTCCATCTATGGCACCAACTGCATGAGGAAACTGCCACAAATCCGAAAATTGTTCTGCTAATTGTTTCCACTGTGCATGCGTTGTAGGGGGCTGTAAGAAGTCTTTTTTCAAAACATTATAGATTACTTTGCTCACAATTGGAACAAATGTTGATATTGTAGAAGTTGACATTCTGAATGAGTAAGAAAGATCTTTATATGATGCTCCAGTTGCAAGAAATCGCAGAGTTACACATAGTTTCTCAAATGGTGAAATAGCATCCCTCATGTTGGTATTCTTTTCAAAAGAAAACATTGACCTGATCATACAATTCATCAAACAATGTCGGTTCCATTCTAAAGAAATACACAAATGATAAAATAAAATGGTGTCTACGGTATTAAATAAAAACAAAGTGTGCTCACCTTAAAAAGTTTCCAAAACTTGCGATATCTGTGCTTCTTAACTCTGGAATCAAATTGAATGCAATACCTTGTGATTCTCTTCGTTCTTGTGTGGCCCATGGTCGCACCCACCATCTACGTTTTCGCATTTTTTTACCTTTACGTATTATCTTCATTAAAATAAAAACAGCCAAACTAATACATAAACGTTTCTTTTTCTTTAAAGTCTTGTAACGAGTCATCTTGCGATTGTCAAAAGTTGATATTTGTAGGACGTAATATCTCGATAAGATAAAGTAACGACGTATTTTCCTTTTCTGCTAACCAAATGCATCGAAGGCAATCTAGTGACAGTGCTATGTAACCAAAAATTTGATAGCCGTTCACTTGAACTTATGCATTTGTCATATATTATTTGTCAAAGAAAATTTCCCCGTGTGAACGGGGCTTTATAAATATACAATTCCATGCATACATGTTAATGTCATTATACAGTTGCAAAATGTTTGTCAGAATCATACTCGTGAATATAGAATTCAAGAAAGACTTACGCCTGTGTTGTCATGAAATCAACCAGAAAAGACTGTATTCCTAAATCTCACTAGGGCACTCGCTGAGTGGGACTTCAAAATCACCCCCGAAACAATAACCGAAAACTGCATTTTCACTTCACTGATTGTTTCATTTGAAATACGTATATTAGCGCACTTCTTGATATCCTCATTGAATACTGGGAGATCGATTTCTGAGTTATGCCTGGTTTCCATATGATCGCTTCTGTCGCTAGAGTCGTTTCTGTCTGTTGAAAAAAGTCCCCTGCGGTGATCAAACGACAGAAGCGATTATTGCGATGAACTGGTTTCCATTAATCGTATGCATCGTATCTAATTTGAACTAGTCACCATACACTTACTGTATGATATATTCAAAATGGCGGCAGTCAATCGAGGAGGAAGACTTGTAGCGTGTTATTTTCTTTTGCGTGTGCTGAGAAGAAGGAGAGAGCGAAAGCAAAAAAGAAAACATCGTCTATGGGTTTTAATATTTCGAAAATTTGTACTTCTGTTCTTCTTCCATAAATGAAGACGTAGAATTAAAGTTTATTGCCGCCATCTTTGAATACGGAATCTCGCACATGGAATTACGGATGTATCATGGGATATATCAAGTCGCTTCTGGCGTAACAATCGTTTTGCACCGGTTTCCATTAAAAAAATGCAAGCGCGTAAAAGGTGTTTCCGGTCGTTTCTGTCCCAAGGATAGAACTCTAGTCTATCTCAAACGATCGATACGCAAGGATCTTTTCTAACGTAAGGATCGCTTTTATCGTTTGAGTTGAGCGTTTCCATATGATCGTCTCTGTCGCTTCTACAAAATGCAAGCGACAAAGACGATCCTTACGACAGGAACGATCATATGGAAACCGGGCTTTACATACAACGAGTATGAATGAGAATATGTGTGTTAATTTTTCAAATTGGCTAATGAACCAAACGATAGTGAGTTATGGTACGTTTCAAACCAACCTGGCTTCGCGACGGCTTCTCTGCAGGCGTTAAATCTGAAGTTGATTCTAAACGAATAAAAAAATTTCCAAATTACTAAATGATGCTGAAATTTACATAGCATGACCAAACTTGCCTACGCGCTCAATCATGGCTTCTACACCAATAATAGAGAGATTTAGCAAACACGACGTATCGTCTAAGACGCCGTCAAAATGACGTAGATATGGCGTGGACCCAATCATATATTGGAATATCACGCCATTTTTACGCAATTTTCACGACGTCTTAAGCCCGAGACACACTGTCGCTGTCGCTTGGTCGTTACGGTGAAACGACAGAGCGACGAAGCGACACGAAAAATGATAACAGACACACTGTCGCTAGCGCAACAGGCAAAGCGACTTGATTTTAAGCACGTACCAGTCCCCTAGAGAATTTTAGCGGGAAATACGAATTTGGCGGTTCATTTCAGTATGGCGTCGAACCAGAACTTACGAGATATATTAATAGCAATTGTTTTAAACGAGTTGGACGAGGAAGAAAACAAACAAAACCGACGGGTAGTTCGTAAGAGGCGCTGCTGGGTGAGAGATATCAACCGACGACAACGCGAACAAGGTGACTTTGGAAACTTGGTTCAAGAATTGAGGAATGACGAAGAACAATTCTTTATTTACTTCAGAATGAATCAAATGACCTTTGATTTCCTTTTGAGCTTAGTTGGTCCTTCATTAAGAAGGCAAAATACTCATTTGCGGCAGTCAGTTTCACCAGGAGAAAGGCTAGCCATCACTTTGCGTAGACTGGCAACAGGAGATTCGCCTCAGTCAGTGGCCTTTGCATATCGTCGTGGTTTAAGTACAGTTCGCAGCATAATATACGATACATGTGAGGTTTTGTGGTCTGTACTTATGCCAATGTATTTAAAAGCACCATCGAGTGTATTAGAATGGCAGGGTATTGAGCAAGGGTGAGTTTCTATCTCATTATCATGTTGATTTATTGCACGGAGTGAGTTTCTGAGCTTGAAACAAAGTTTCTTTACTGTTTGTGACCTAGTTTTCAATTGAAATAGGTTCTCTACTGTCTGGAATTTTCCAAATTGTATTGGTGCTTTGGATGGGAAACATATTGCAATTCAGGCTCCTAGAAACTCTGGCTCAGCCTTCTTCAATTACAAAAAGTTTCATTCCATTGTGCTGATGGCAATGTGTGATGCCCATTATCAGTTTGTGTATGTTGATGTTGGAGAATCTGGCGGTGGAGTGACTCTGGAGTCTTCGAAAATACAACATTTGGATCAGCATTCCTAAATGGTATGCACATGTAATTTATCTTAAAATGCAAAACATATATATTTTGTATATATACATAAAGTGCAATTTTTTAAAGGAAAAGTCCAGTTACCAGACCCCTGATAAATGATGGCAAGAAGATGCCATATTGCATTGTTGGGGACGAGGCTTTTCCATTGAAGACATGGATTATGCGACCATATCCTGGTAAATCTTTGGACTGTGTAGCAAAAAAAGTATTTAATTACAGATTATCAAGAGCTAGAAGGACAATTGAAAATACATTTGGTAAACTCAAATAAAAACATTGTTGTATATATCAATACTTCATAATTTGATTATGTCAATATTTGTAGGCATCATGGTTTCCAAGTGGAGAATCTTGAAAACTGCTATTGTTGCTGAGCCAAACAACGTGGTCAAATTGGTTAAAGCTATATGTGTTCTTCACAACTTTCTGCGAAAGCAATCTGCAGCAAGTTACACACCTCCTGGCTCGACAGATACAGTGGATGAAAATGGCCAAATAAATGAAGGGAGTTGGAGAGCTGAGATGGAAAAAGCTTCTCTTCAACCCATTGCTCAGAGCTCTAGAAACCAAACAAAAGCAGCTCTTAGAGTAAGAGAAGATTTTGCATGTTATTTTATGTCATCTGAAGGAGAGTTATCTTGGAAAGTGGATTATGTCCTTCGTACATCATAATCATAAATAGAATACTTGGAAAAGAGTCGGTTTATTTTGTTAGTTTTTTTATTATTTGAAAATAATGATTGTAACAGAAACACTTAAAAAACATCAAACTAATTTTCTGGAAACTCCAGCTTAAAAAGAACATCCTGAATCTCCTTCTTGGCTTTAGCTCTAGCATATGGAGTAGGTAGCTTCCTAATTTGCTCAGCAACACTGTTTCCGAAAAAGTCATATTCATCTTGACTCTCTGGCTCTTTAACTTGTTTTTTGTGAAGAGTTTCTAGATACCCAATCAACTTTGTTTGATATGGTGACATGTCTTCAGCCTTCCTCTTCTTGCATCGTACAATTTCAGATGTGCTGGACAAATTTGTTGATTGGCTTGATGGACTGTCAGCAAGCACACTCTCAGCTATCTCCTCAGAGTCTTCCTGGATTTGAGAAGACGTAAGTTGGTCTTCCACAGGGATAACAACATTCAAGATTGTCCTATGAATAAAATGATCAATTACTCATAGAAATAGCTTATTTTTGCCTACATTGTTATTAGAAAGTCATAGTGTAATTTCAAAAATTACATACTGGCGTCGTTTTGCGTAATCATCCAGCCAGGTCATAATAGACCAAAACTCCCAGTTTGGTGTTGAGGAAGCAGGAGCACCAGATTTGATAGCTGCATCATGCTTCTTTTTGCATCGCCTATATGTGTCTCGCAAATTCTTCATTTTACCTTTTAGTTCGTTTGCTTAATAAGAGAAAAATAAACATTTATTTGACTGGGTCAGACGATACTGACAAAAAATATTGTGAGATAAGAAAACATGTTTTGCGAAATGAGTATTTACCTGAGAAATCAAAACCGATTGCACGCATTTCTTCGGCTATCTTTTGCCAGATATTTCCCTTCAATTTTTCATCTTTATAGTCTTTTAAAGACATGTCGTAAAGAGCAGGATACGCGCGAAAAGAATTTATAAGTGCTTCTTCTAGTGACGCCATTTTGAAAATTTTGTCCTAGCGACACAGCGATTTCATGTGCTCCAGCGAATTCGCTGGCTGTGTTGAAACGACAAAGCGACACGGCTTTGTAACCGCGCAATCCCGTCGCTGCGCGGTAACGACATAGCGACAGCGACAGTGTGTCTCAGCCTTTAAGGTATGTACACATTTGAAGCTGTAAGTGGCGCTGAAACCGTATGCTGTAACATGTCCAATTTAACTTTCTATATTTGATATTATGTGGTGGTACACACTGAGTGCAATGCCGTAGCGCTGCACTCAGTGCGTACGACATAATAGAAAATATAGAAGGCTAAATTAGACAAGTAACAGCATACGGTTTCAGCGCAGCTTCCAACTTCCAGTGTGAACGGACCTTTAGACGATGCGTCGTGTTTGCTTAATCTCTAATAAATACACTGATGCGGCGCAGTGGTATCACTAGCCAGGAGATTTGGTCCAGCTATATTTAAAATCAGAATTATTACCGATGTCGAAAATAATATATTTTGCTAATGCACAGTGAGCATAGTACATTTACAGAGACACATTGACAAATCAAGGTTCATCTGACAGAAGGGGAGTAGATTTTGCAAGGTGTGCTGACGAGGTCTTATCGAACAATTTTCTAGCCTATAATAGTATTATATGTACAGGAGGGTGAAAGACTTTTTTTTGGGGGGGTGCCTAAAAAACCATCCTTGGATAACAAAAGTATTACATCGGTTTGGCTACACATCTCACGTAAAGTCTTACTGTTAAAAATCTGAGAACGACTCATGTTTCTCAGACATTGATATTTGTTCTTCGCCACTCGTTCTTTTTTGTCTTTTTCACGTTTTAAAAACTGGTCTTCATAAGGATCTACAAAATACAAACAAGAAATTACCAATTCTACATATAACTGTAGGGCAAATCTTGCGCCTGGTTATTTCAAGGATAAGTATTTACTTGCATTGGCAGGCACTTCTATTAGCCATTCCTTTGTGTCATCTTTTGCACGTTTAAATCCCCAGCGTGGCTTTCATGACTATGTTAAATTGTAATATAGAAATTAAAAATAATCAAAATGAATGATTTCAATGTTTTTACTGGCGTTAAGAGCAAGGCCTTCTGTAGTAAAAACTTCCAATTTTTTTGACAGAACCATTGAACTGAATATTATCTAAAGCTAGATTTCTACTTGCAAATTTTTTCACGAGAAGCGCTAATTTTCGAGGCGAAAAATTTCGTGCGAATGGGTATATGATTTCCACTAGTAATAATAAACCACGAAATACAAAAAACATTCATACAAAGCGGCTGAACCGGCACATAAACGACAGTTTAGTATTTACGACCAGGAATGTGTTTCAATAAGCATGGTTTGTTTCGTATTTCGTCTAAGAAAATTCCTTAATCAAAACAGTTGGTTTTTTTGTAGAGTAGAGTCGCTAATAACTCCTCACAATCAGCCATTTTGAAAACTGAATATACTTGATGGACATCACAAATCAGAAATACTGAAATCTGACTGGCTGGCGAATTTTTTCGTAGCAAAAAAGTAGAAATCAATCGAACTCAAACTTTCGTCGTTGCGAACAGTTTATCCGAATTTATCGCTGTGTATATGTGACGTTGTTGAACGTCTGCGCATGCCTTAATTCGAAAATTATCGCTTTGTGCGAAAAAATTCGCAAATGGAAATCCGGCTTAAGCCTACTCTTTGATTCGCGCATGGAAAAATTGCGATGGCTGAATTGCTGGCTTTAAATTTTGGGAGGACTAAGCCTTTCAGTTATATTCAGTTAAACAAACTGAACACAAAAAAATAGCATGAAATCAAGGCGGAAAATGAGGTCATTGACAAATTTGGTAAGTGTCTATTGGTGAGAACTAAGGTGAATAACCAGCCACTAGAGGCTTAACGAGTGAATTATCTTGTACGTAAATGTTTGTAAAAATCATTATTCATGCCTTAAGAAATGTAGGCTTTTTACATTAACTGAGCAGCGAAATATTTACATAGCAAGACCGAAATATTTACACATTGAAACAAACGTCACATAAAGAGAGTACATAAACAAAATTCTTTTACACACAAACAACACACACAATCATCTTACTTTGGTGGTCTCATCCCAAAGCATCCTTTGTGAGCATCCTTTCTGTTTTCGAATTCCCTAGAAAAAACTGTCTAAACTAGGTTTAACAAATTATCGTTGAGCAACCTTTGCATTTAGACTACGTTAACACTACTCCGGATTAGTCTGAAAACATTGCAAAAAAGCAACAGAATCGGGTTACTTTTAAACTACGCCGAAGGGGAATTGTTTGAAAACGTCACTTTCCGGAGCCATACGACCACACTTTCCAAACGTGGTCGAACAAAAACGAGCGCTACGCAACGTTGGGTAAAAAGGTAACCGTTGATATTTTGCCACACTTTAGATACCAGTTCTCTTCGATTCGTCCCAAATTTTGGTGCATTATTGAGAATGGTGACATTTTATGTTTTGGAAAGCTTTTCATGAAAAATTCTGTAACAATTTTTACAAATCAATGTTTTTTATGATTTACGGCTAGATTTATAAACATCTAGCAATGTGTAGACGAGAAACGGCGCTATTCTTTAAAAAAACTAACAAATTTTGACTGCAAAATACATTATTTGAAAACACGCGTAAAAATGTAGAGGAATTCAAACGGATCACGGTAAACGCAGTCAAATTCTTCAGTCACTTTTTTGCCCGGAGTAGGGAAAACGTAGTCTAAGAGACACGACAAACGTTATTAATCGACATAATTAAAGCAGATAATGAGATCAGTGAATTTGTACGTAAAACGTGAGTTGTTTATGTTCACACAAGCTTTTAATAATCTATTTTGAAAGGGTAAATGTAAAAACCACATTTTAAAACTAGCTTAATACTAAACGATAACGTTTTTATTATTAGTAACACAAAAGTTCATCAGCATAATATAAAATGAAATATACTGGGATAAAACAAACACAACTTAGCCTACAAACTCAAGATATGAGATATAAAAAAACAAGATGCATTACTCAATTAATGATATTTTAACAATAGAATAATGGCAAAGCTAGTGAAGAAGCTAAAGAAGATGATAGTGGAGAAGCTACTATAGAAGAAGCAAGTGAAAAGGCAAGTGGAGATGATATTGGGAGAAGAAAAAGGAATGAAAAAGCCAGTGGAGAATCAAGTAGAAAAGCTAGCGGAGAAGCATGTGAAGAAGACAAATGAGAAACTAAAGGAAATACTGATGTAGAAGCCAATGGAGAAGCTGGAGGAAATGCTTGTGTAGAAGCTAGTGAACATTCAAGCGGACTGTAGTCACTTTAGTAAACTGCTTTTGAAACATCAAGGTAATGTAGCCAGCCAGGTATGAATTTGCAGGCCCTTTAAGAGTGCAAAAGCTGGGTGCATTGTTTAATCTTTATAATCATCTTGGTTTTGGTTTGTCTCTTAAGCAGATTTAAATTATTAACAGCAACATAAGACTGTGTCCACAGTTTTTAATTATAAGTGTATCCAATTGTATCCAGTATATCAGTTTCACATTGTCTTGTGCTAATTCCTTTACAGCCATGAATACTGCTTCTCAGCAACAGTTTATTGTCTACAGCTGTAAATTGTTCAACTTTTCGATTATTAAAGTCACACTTCACAAGTGGAATAAAGCTCTTGTCTTTCTTATTACTACAAGACTCGAGAATGATGATCAAACTATTGCTGAAAAGGATTCTAATGTCAACTGCAATTCATATTTATACCATCCCTAACTACATTCATATCTTAAGAATAATTTTAATCTTTTTGGAAAAATATTTAAGGCATTATTATTACATTCATACTAACTATGATCTTCTGGAATTTGCTTAGCACCTAGAAGAGGAAAATGAAATTTACTGAATGTAAAAAGGCAGTAATATCGTACATGGCTGGCTATATTGCCCAGATCGTGCAAAAGAAAATAAACTGTCCTGTTTGTCATGAAGCAGTCGGTTCAAGAAATCATAAAAATGAGTCTGCTTTCTTGACTTTAAAAGACAGGGGTAATTTGTTTAAGCCAACAGCAAGTGTTATAGTAATATGCAATGAAACAGAGAGGTGCTTTCAGAGAATGTTGGCAGCTACAAATGGAAATTTACTGCAAGGGAAAGGAATTCCTGATGGTATTGCTGTGTCCGTATTAAATGGTATAGATTTGAGGACCACATTCAAGGCTCTCGACACAGACATGTTGAATACTACTGTTCATGAAAATCATATTTACTCATTAAGACCATATATAAATGTTACAGCAAGGTGCGAGTATACCATTTGAGAAAAACAACTACAGAAATAGAAACTAAAGATAAAGTGCGAAAGAAACTAAATAAACTTGTCTTGTTTAAGCATCAGTAGTACTTTGCTCATGAAAAAAATGAAGTTACAGCAAAAATAAAATGTCAACAATCTCTCAACATAAAGAAAGAATGATAAAAAAAAGTAACTCACTTCATTTCTAAAGAACTGAAACGTATACTAGATCATAAATGCCTCAGAAATTGGAAAGCGAGCAGTGAACTATCTTGCATTGGCAACGATGGGACAAAATGCATTCTCGCATGTACAACTTTTAAATCAACACTAACGTCGATATTTTAGAGCTATAGGAATCATTTTGATGTCAAATCGATTCGCATAACCTGTTTTATCCATGACTAATACTTGAGGTTAGTAAGGAGTCGCGAAAGGTCTTAAATATTCGAAAATCCATGTTTGTAAACGTTATCCGCCATACATTTCTATAGTAATTTGTATCTCGCCGTGGTACCCGCAAGTGAATTTTGCATATATAATTAGGCTTCAGTTTTGATACCATTGAGTTCTATAATAACTGGAGCGGCTATCTTTACTGGGGCGAGGTCGCCAAAAAAATGGCGGCCAACGGACGTATTTCCGCTGAAATGATCGCTTTGCAGAAAAATAATATTCTCGACCTCCCCCTGGTGTCTATAGTAAATTATAAAGAATTTTTCAAAAACAAACACGATATCACAGAATATGGATATCGTTAGTTCCATATTCTGTGACGATATCTTTTTTGGCATTTCTTTTATAATGCCAACACTTCAATCGTTCAATTGTTGGATGTCGTAGTTTCCACAAAAAGGAACATATCGCTTCTCACAGGTGAGGTAGTTGTTTGTTTTGTTAGTCCGTCAACGATTGAAAAGCAATTATACATGCACTTGAAAAGCCATAAAATACATAATTTTTGATCATAATTTATCATCATTCCATAGATCGTAATTTTTAAGACTGACTTGAACGCCAAATATACTGATGTTTTCCTGTTTTTGTCTATAAAATTCTGCATACTTTTCTGTCATTTGTTAATGCATGAAATCGTAAAATTTACCTATCTATTTGCAAAATAGTTTCCCTAAAGCAAAAAAGACCCTGCACACATTTTGCTCTGTGAAAAGTATCAAGAAGAAATGATCAGCCCCAACAGTACCCATGATTTGGAGCAGAGCTTGTTATGTTCTATTTGCTGACAACATGCAGGGAAGACCAAGAAGTAAAGATGACTGGAAGATGTTATTGACCAGGCAGAGTCTTAAAAAAATGATAATGCTGTAAAGATAATTGATTTATTGTCTGCCTTATCCAGAGTTATTTAATTTGATCATGGTCAAATTCTATGGATGGAGACAATGGATTCACTAATGATGCCTTGAATGCTTTGAAGTAAAAGTTCATGAACCAAAAAAAGATGGCAAGAAGGTTGTTTGTTTTTGATGCTTAATTAAATGTCAATTCACAACATATAAAATGGAAAGGCCATAAAGTTTGTGTCTATGTAAACATTTGTACTGAGATTGATGATGACTTGATGCAGATGTGAAGCATTAAACTGAATAAGCCATTGGGTTTTATATAACATAATGTTTAAATCATGTCATATCTTTATCAAAATATTTTAGTTGAGTGTTGTTTAAATGTTACTAATATCTAATGCACTATACTAAAGCATTAAAGATTCAGTGATGAAACCTTTAAAATTACTGTACTGTATATCAAAATGTGCTACAACTTTACAAGTATTTGATGCAGTTGCACTTCAGAACATCACAAAAAGGTTACTTAAAGTAATTTCTATACAATATTGTTTGTTTTCATTTACCAAACCTATGCAGACTTGAGTCTTTTTGAAATTTCATGTGAAACTCAATTACAGAAAATCCGTAAATATCCAGAGATTTTATATGTACTTTTTTAAAGAAACAAGTAAAAATCCTACAATTGTGGCGAAAAAAGCCATTGCCCATTGCATGAAAAGAAGAAAAATAGCAATGATAACAAATAAGCTAACTCTCTCGTGAACCGTGGAGATGAACTATGATATACTTTTTTGTATAGACTAAAGAGTTTAATCGATCAAACAAGTTTGACGCTGGTAAGAAAACGACGCATATCTGCATTCATAGATGTGTAGCCGACATATAGCTCTTTCGTCGATAGTTATAAATACATCCTCGTAGGAGCCGATAACTGGAAAGCTAGGTTGACTCGCTGTTACGAATTGTAGGTTTTTTAACGTGATTTTCATCAAAAAATTGCTTGCCAAATCCCAAATACACACGTACATTTTCCTCACTTTTTCCTCAGGAGGGAGTGGGAAATTGTGAAATTTTCGGAAAAGCGGTCAATTTCGGTAAATCTCAGCGGCAAAGGACGAAATCCGCCATTTTTTTGGCGTCATCAGATATCTAAGGCCGCGCTTGAGATAGCCGCTCCAGTTATTATAGAACTCAATGTTTGATACCTGTAGAAGCTATATCCAGTCTATTATCAGATCAGTGGTATTCAAATGATTCAACAACATGCATTGTTTAATTCATAGTGCTTGAGCCATCCTACATGAGTATTATATTATACAACATTATTTGTGGGAAACACAGCAAACTGAAACAATGGATTACTTTACACTGTTAAATTTCTGAGAACGACTAATGTTTCTCAGACATTGATATTTGTTCTTCGCCACTCGTTCTTTTTTGTCTTTTTCACGTTTTAAAAAACTGGTCTTCATAAGGATCTACAAAACACAAACAAGAAATTACTAATTCTACGTATAACTGTAGTGCAAATCTTGCACCTGGTTATTTCAAGGATAAGTATTTATTTGCATTGGCAGGCACTTCTATTAGCCATTCCTTTGTGTCATCTTTTGCACGTTTAAATCCCCAGCGTGGCTTTCATGACTATGTTAAATTGTATTATAGAAATTAAAAATAATCAAAATGAATGATTTCAATGTTTTTACTGGCGTTAAGAGCAAGGCCTTCTGTAGTAAAAACTTCCAATTTTTTTGACAGAACCATTGAACTGAATATTATCTATATTCTATCTATTATCTATATTATCTATTATCTAGCAAGATTTCTACTTGCGAATTTTCTTGCGCGAAGCGCTAATTTTCGAGGCGAAAATTTTCGTGCGAATGGGTATATGATTTCCACTAGTAATAATAGAACCGCAAAATACAAAAAATATTCATACAAAACGGCTGAACCGGCACATAAACGACAGTTTAGAATTTACGACCAGGAATATGTTTCCATAAGTATTGTTTGTTTCGTATTTAGTCTAAGTAATTCCTTAGTAAAATAGTTGGGTTTTTTGTAGAGTAGAGTCGCTAATAACTCCTCATATTCCGCCATTTTGAAAACTGAATTACTTGATGGACATCACAAATCAGAAATACTGAAATCTGACTGGCTGGCGAATTTTTTCGTAGCAAAAAAGTAGAAATCAATCGAACTCAAACTTTCGTCGTTGCGAACAGTTTATGTGAATTTATCGCTGTGTATATGTGACGTTGTTGAACGTCTGGGCGTGCGTAAATTCGAAAATTATTGCTTTGCACGAAAAAATTCGCAAATGGAAATCCGGCTTAAGCCTACTCTTTGATTCGCGCATGGAAAAATTGCGATGGCTGAATTGCTGGCTTTAAATTTTGGGAGGACTAAGCCTTTCAGTTATATTCAGTTAAACAAACTGAACACAAAAAAATAGCATGAAATCAAGGCGGAAAATGAGGTCATTGACAAATTTGGTAAGTGTCTATTGGTGAGAACTAAGGTGAATAACCAGCCACTAGAGGCGTAACGAACGAATTAGCTTGTACGTTAATGTTTGTAAAAAACTACAGAATGCATAATGAAGTGATCTTATTACTCATTTGCCATATTGATGCTACACAAATGCTATTGAACTTTGTCTATACGTCTTTGACTTGCGCTAGGCGCTAATAAATGTTGTCTTATTGAAATGACATGCAAATGCTGTATATTTCATCGATTTACGCCAGCGTTTTTAAATCATTCCGGTTACCGTGCATCCACACGTGTCTAGATTCGGCGAGTTTTTAAAAGTCTGCGGTTACATTATGCGTTTTCGCTGGAGACGTGTGAACAATAAAGCCTATTTTCCACTAGCCATGTATCGTAACGTAACATGGCGCATGCGTGCTTGTGAATTTGATGGTTACTAGGCACAAGCAGGCATGGGCCATGTTACGTTTTGCAACGATACGTTACGATGCATGGCTAGTGGAAAACAAGCTTAAGCGTAACGGCAACAAAATATTTGCGGATACAACCGAGTCCGGATACGTGTGGACGGGACATAAAATTACCAACTTTTCAAACAGTCTTAACTCAACAATCGCTAAAAATATTGACCTCAATTAGGGTTACGATACTTTTTGTTGATTTGACATAGAATTACATCATTTGAGAAAGATATAACATCAATGAACAACTTACCTGATCATAAACGATGATTTTGTCTGCAGTAGTGAAGAGTTGTGTTGCCTGTTTGGAAAATTTAAAATATTTCACAGACATCCTTTGAAAAATAATCGAATTACAATCAAGGAAGTAAAAGATAACTTACTGTAATGTTCCAAAGAGTTTTACTTTTGTAAACATATCCCTCCTCTTTTCTTTAATTCCTCCGTTTCTGCTTCTTGAACATATTATGCTGCTAAAGTGTCCAAACAAATCATTCTGTCACCGTCACTGTTTGTATAGTCCACCTTTCCGACTCTCTATAAACACGTGCTATTAGACCGTGTCAAATCACCTGAAAGTGGACAAACAAATTCGACATACTGAAGTTTACTACAAAGAAATAAAGTCGTTCTTGCATTTGTTACTCTATGGAAAAAAATAGCGTTAATGTCTAATTGAAGCCAGGTTTGATGGAGATGAAAGCAGATGAAAAAGCCAAAGCATATGAAGTATTGATGCTGCCTACTCTTTCATCTGTTCTTGGGTTAGAAAATGAAAATGAAAAGCGTCACATTTTGATTGGAGATATAGAAATCAGTGATTCTTTATGATAAATTAGTAAATAAATTTGGTGATCCACCACCGTTCGGATTATACAATTTATTTAATTATTTGATATATCATTCCTCCGATTACGACCAGCAAGGTTTTGCAGCATACAAAGCATTGGAAGATTATTGCATGTTTCAAAATGGTTATGTCCAGTCATTACTGACGGAGACGATGGCAAACGAAGGCGTTCATTTGTATGTCGGTAAGGTTAAACTACCTATAAAAGTATGACGGGTGATCACCGCCAAAATTCAAACATGGCATTCGGCAATGCGAACATGGCATTCGGCAATGCGAACATGAGCCATATGAACACACGGTGATTATGTACAGCAGATATGCGTAACATGAGTAATGCGAACACAAAGTTCTTTGTGTCAGCTGTAATGGAGAAAGAACGATAAGATGATACTTCATGTCCTGTTTAAGAATAAAAATAAGTTGACGATAAAAATTGGAAACTTGGCTTCAAACACTATTGTAATACTTATTTTTCAGCTTTTCTGGTTGTTTTAGTGTCATTTAATTGCTCTAATTTTGTTGAATTTGACATTTTTGAAAATTTATTTGGCTATGGACATCCGCAATGCCTGCCCACCCGGATGAATATATTAATACAAATAGTTATAATTGGAAACTCGAAATCATTTTTATGAAATGGTAAGTTTGTATTTGTTAAATTAACATTTAAAAATAATACAAGTGATTAATACCATATTTATGTAATGTTTCATCTTTTACAGTGTTTTGTTCGGACTAAATTTTATGTTTCTATTGGACAGGAAGATACTAGAAAGATAGTCATTAATCATTTACAACAGTCTATGCGGAAAATTGAGCACATCTTAGAAAACAATTCTGAAGAGCTCCCGGACTATGATTGCTTATCGTTTAGAGTTGATCATCTTCGACATATTTTAATTTATTGTTCTGATACAATAAGTATACCTGCTCAAGTTCATCAGTACTTAAGCCTGGTTTTTGAAATAATGAAATCATTTGGAGATGGTGACAATGGTGAATATGTTGCACCAACTGTGAAAACTGGTGGGCGTGGACGCCCAGCATACTATATCACAAAGGATCAACTTCATTTTTTGGTCTCATCAGGGTTCAATGTACCACAGATTGCGTCATTACTAAATGTTGGAAAACGAACTATAGAAAGAAGGCTTCACGAGTTCAACATTTCTTTAAACACTACATTTTCCTTAATAAGTAATGATTTAGACGCTGTTGTTAGAGATATTGTCAATGAATTTCCAAATGTGGGTAGCAGACGACTTCAAGGTTTCCTAAGAGCAAGAGGATATAACATCCAACAGCAGCGTGTTAGAGAAGCAGTGCGAAGAGTAGATCCTGAAGGTGTTTTATTACGAGCTATCGAATTGAATGTCATTAAAAGGAGACCGTATAATGTGAAATCTCCTTTATCACTGTGGCACATCGATGGTTATCACAAACTGATCAGGTAAGAAATTTTCTTCACTATTAGTTATTAAAACTCATACATTTAAGTATGTGATACTTATAATGGTTTCTTTTAGGTGGAGATTTGTGATTCATGGAGGCATTGATGGATTTTCGAGAAAAATCGTTTACCTGGAATGCCATACGAATAATTATGCAAACACAGTTTTGAATGCGTTTCTTCCTGCTGTCCTTCATCATGGACTTCCTTCTCGCGTTAGATCTGATAAAGGAGGAGAGAATGTAGCTGTTGCGCAATATTTACTGGAACATCCTGAACGAGGAAGTTGAAGGGGGAGTATGATCACTGGCAAGAGTGTGCACAATCAGAGAATAGAACGTCTTTGGAGAGATCTCTTTTCTGACTGTGTCCATATGTATCATAATTTGTTTTATAGCCTAGAAAAGTCTGGTATACTAAATCCTGATGATGACATCGATTTGTTTTGCTTACACTATGTATATTTGCCAAGAATAGCGCAGTCTCTCAAAACCTTTACAGAAGGATGGAATTTTCAACCGATAAGTACAGAAAGTAATCTTACTCCAAATCAGCTATGGATAAGTGGTCTTCTTCAAATAGCTAACAGTAGTAACAGAATTGCTCGAGATCTTTGGCAAACAGATGTACGTATTTTGTGATTATGATAAGCTGAATATTATGTTAGTACAATATTCTCAGTTTCACACATAACGAGCCAATTGTCGATTTAGGTTAGCATACCCCTTTGGGCATATGTTGCGCGTTTGACAATTTTTCTTGCACTGAGGGTGGGAATTTGATCATTAAAACGGAATGAGGCACGCCGGGAAGGATAATACAGATACGTTAAATGGTGCATAAGTAACTATATAATTAGTGTTAACCACAGTAAACTTGCGTTTAACCTAGATCCGAAGCTGATTCCAGTTTGTTTACTCCTATGGAATAGAAAGCTTTAGGTTTTTGTTGCATAGGAATTTCATGGAGTCGACTGGAATGGCCCAATGTCAAGTGACTCAGATAATGTCATAGTTGATGTTCCTCAAACAATGAACCCGTTATCTGATGTGGAGTTCAGTACTTTGAAGAATGTGGTTGATCCTCTTCATCCGAGTAGTACTCTTGGAACAGATGTTTTTATGCAGTGCAAGCAATATGTTCATGACAGATCTTTTGCCAACTGATGTCAAACATTGCATGATGTTAACGGTCTCTATAACAAAACTATGAAGGGAAATACGCTATGCAACACAATTTGTTGTCGAGAAAAGTGTACTTTTTGTCGTTTTTTCCCCACTTTTTTAAATACATATTTACACTCTGCTCATTCTGCACTGTGACACAGAATGAAAACAAACCTTCTTTAGATATCATGATGTTAAATGCATGATGCAGAGTTTTTTGGAGAAGCAAAGAGTATTCTACGAACCAAAAACGATATAATGTATCATTTTTGTTAAATTTTTATGAAAAAAGGTTTAAGACCGGACACTTCAGGAATAAAAGTGCTTTCAATCGCCACTGAAGAAGAGGAAAAGATATGGTTTGAGACTGATACAATATTCACATACAGCTCATTTGTAAATTCTTGGCAGTGTAGTTTTAAAACTATATTTGCTTTTTCACAGAATAATCTAATAACTGTTATTACGTTGGACGGATATGCAATTTTTGCCTTTTGTTAACATTACATGGAAGACATGAAACTTTTAATGAAATCGTATCACTTGAGCAAAAAAAATCAAAAATTTCAACCGTGAGAAAAAAAGCAACGAGGGTACCTAATATATAACTGGAACAATTAAAACCTTAGCAAAATTCTAACAAACAAAATGGTCAATTTGAACTACCTTGAACCAGCAAATGAGCACGATCCATGGCGCAAACTTGCAAACATGATATTATTAAACTTTTCATAATCTTCATATATAATCGGAAGTTTTAAATGATTGAAGCAGCTGTCGGAGTCAACCATAGTGAGATCTTCCTTGCCAAAGAGCACTTTTATTTTTGTTTTCAAACCAAGTGGGGGTACACTAAGGTTGGATGTGCAAAACTTAAGAAGAAGATTAAGAACAGGGATGTCACCACCTAGAACTGGAATTCGCTCTATAAGAAAAGTACGCAAGTTAATACAACAAAAGCGCATTTAACAAATCACTTTCGAGAATATAAATGTAGAGAAAATGTTTGATAAATTTCTATGTTATTTTTCTTACCAGTAAGACATTCTGACTCCTTCACAAAGCGAATCAAGTGTAAGTATGCTTGCCATTCTTTGTCATCCTGTTGATTTGATATTAGAAATGATACAAATGTATCTGCTGTTAACTGTGAATTTGCTACTTCATTCACAAAAAAGCGGTCTCCAACCGTCAGGATTCTTTTGAAGAAATCGCAACAATCCAAAGTGGTCGAGTCCTTCTCAAAATTTTTGAAGGGCAGGCAATTGCTTGTCAAAGAGCTCTTCGATAAGAATGCGACTGACAAATTCGAATCGGCATTTCATGTTGATTAAGGATTCCGTCGGCCATCCTGAACGATCAATAATGGAAGAAAACCTTGCGTCGTCATACAGAACTGAAATCTCCTCATCATTTAAGCAACTCTCAATCTAAAAAATGCATAATGCTAACTCACTGTACCGTATGCTATCTCGTTTATATGATGCACACGCGATCGCACTGCTTTTTTGCGGTTGTTGGAACAGAGAGAAATTATGATATTAGACTTATCGCCATGCTTTTACAACGACGACGTATGAACAAAGAATATGGCAGGCTTGATACGCCCTTCACACTGTTGTCCACAAAACACAAGTACATTCTCACCCAGCAACCTACCATTTTGATGAATTCGGTTAAATCAGAATTTTTTGGGGTATTAGGCAGATCTTCAGATGTTATCAATGCCACAGACTTTTCTTTGTCACCACTAACAATGAACTCGTATACATACTTGGCTAGAGTTGGCATACCTGGCCTTCTTGCAGGATTGAATGTCCAATCATGAGCCCTGCCATTTGTAGCAAATATATCTTGTCCCAGCTGTGTATGGGAATGCGGTTTCAGGTTTTCCTTCAAATAGCAAGTTGTCGATAGTTCCGGTCGTTCCAAGCCGCTGATTTCCAGTCGTTCTACAAATATGATACCCCCCAGCTTCTTTTAACAATGGGTATTGACTTTCAAGAACTTGAGTGAGAAACTGATGACTCCCTTTCTTGTTTTCAAAAGTTATTTTTTTCTCTCCAAGCCCGCTAGCTTTCAACTTTTCTTTTTCATAAACAG